CGTATTAGCATCTGACCGGGGCGACCCAACCATCCTCATTTCTGCGGTGTCAGTAGGATGTGTGACTATACATAGACCTAACAGTCTGTTAGAGATTGGCTTTATTTACTTTGGTGACTGTTTATAGTTTTTAAATAAAACACTGAACATTTTGCTTTGGGTTTACGCTTGTTTCTTGCTTTATTCCTACCAGCTTCTCCCGCTAGCTGCCTTTCTACGTTTTGCGTGAAGCCCACTGTGCCCCTGGTGGTACCTATGTGATGTAATAAGTGTGCGCTCAGGAGATGAATGTGGACAACTATAAATTACCATTTGATTAAAAAACTTAAATCCACTAATTGAATTGGCTCAATTCAACACAAAGCACTGTTATCGAGAGTACGCAAATCTGAGAAAGCTTCAATAACAAATAACAGACAAAGGGTTAAAACAGTTGAAAATAATAGTTGAGCAGTTGTAGTAGTTAGCTAAACATAATGAATATCACTACATAATTCAAACAGCTAAATGGTTTAATAGATAAATTTGTTTTTGTGCATAGCTATAGTTTATAGAGTTAAAAAGTTTAAATGATTCGCTAGACGTCATGGCTAAATGGCTTAATTGTTAGCTGAAACTAGATAGTAGAGGTTGCAAAAACAGGCCTTTTTGTTTTTTAGCTCAAAGTCATAGAGGAACAGTTGAAATTGTTGCATAAAACATACTGGATGTATGATGTGCTAACGAGGAAAAAAAAAAAAGGCTGAAAACACGAGTAGCTAAAAGGTATTGATGAATAGTTGACGATGTTCGCTAAAAGTAGCCGATAGAAATAGAATTAGAATAAAACTTTTTTAATCCCTTCGGTACAAGACCTCAGGGAAATTGCTAATGCTATGAGAATGTTGTGTCCAAAATAACTTATTAAATGTTAAAGAAAATTCCTAAAAGGTTACAACAGATAGCTAAATGTAATTGATAAATGGTTGAGCTAGAATGGATAAAACGTTAATGCATGAACTCGCTAAACTGAATTGCTAAAAGTTGTTGATAAATAGCTCAAACAGTTAGCTTAAAGTCATGAATTGATTGCTAGCTAAAAGTAATGGATAAATGGTTTGAATAGAGAGCTAAAGCGGGCCTAATTTTTAAAAAAAGTTGAAATAAGTAAACCTTTTTTATAATTTTGTACTTGAAGATACAGAAAACAGTTTAATTACTTTGCTCAATATAGAATATAAAGGATATGCTAAATGGAATAGATAAAAGCTTAAAATAGCTACAAGTTAATGATAAATAGTTGGAATTTTTAGCTTAAAGACATGGAAAATGGTTGAAATGATTTGTTAAATGTAGTTAAATAATGGTTGAAACAGATTGTGAGAGTAGCCGAATGAACTTAGTTAAAATTGATACATAAAGTTATTATTAAATACTTGAAGTCATCAATTTAAAAGGCATCTGTAAATGGTTGACATGGTTTTATGTATCTACATGTATATACTGTATGTACAAATTGTTTTAAAGGCAATAAAATGCCCCAAAGATTCATCTTTAAAAATCCTGATAGTTTTCTTCCTATTCAAAGAAATTCAAAGTGCTTTGCGGTTGACTGTCAGGCTGAAAAGACAGTAAATACAAGCAATCAATAAAAGTTAACAAAGAAGGAAAAAATGGTGAAAAGGCAATAAGAAAGCCAATAAATATTTTTAAATTCAATAAGATGTGAAACGACAAAATCAATGAGAAAGAATCGAACTGAAAATGGAAAAAAAAAGGTTGAAATACTTGTCTCCTGCCACCATCAGGGATATTGTGGTAAAAAAAAACTTGACCGAACTGACCTGAAAATTAAATCAATATTCACTCTTATAATTAACATTCTGTTCCTGGTGTCCATCTTCTAAACGTGTGGTGAAGCTTAAACTCCTCTGCCGGCTGCGGAGGAAGCGACGAGCAGCAGCGTTGATGCAGAGAGCCAGGATGAGTGTTTTCTGGGCCCGTCGCCGCTCCCTCCGCTGTGCGCTAATAGGAGTCGTCTGAACACATGCCAGTGTTTTTAATATTCAGCGCTCACTTTTCATGGTTGCTAGTTGGGACTTCAAACAGCTCTCTTGTCTGATATAACCTAACAAGCTCCATTTGCTGGCAAGCTCATCCTTTTGTTCTGTTTAACCACTGGACACTTTCTTTTGGCTCGTTCCTTTCAACATAATTGAATTGTTAATGACTTTGCTGAGCGCTCCACTTCCCACAGCTCCCAAAACATCTTTTTTTATGCATAATCTTACACTACAGAAAACTTTCTGTTTTCATCAGGAGACGACTCGGCGTCACACTGTGCCGCTGCTCAGAGCAGTAATCTGAGGACAACGTTGGTTCTCCTATACGTTGGAGCTCACTGCTGTGTTGTGTGTTTGTTGCCGAGGTTTAGGTTCAGTAATTAGCTCTCTTTTTACCAGCATGCTATCCATTACTGCTCCGCTTAACAGCCGCACATGGGTTTGTGCCTGATTAAAATCTCTTGCTGTAAATAATAACAGTAAATAATTGATTACATTCAGATTTGCACAAACAGCACAGGTGTTATTAATACTGAATCAGCTGCATAAACCTCAACAAGCAATAAGCCTATTGTTTAAAACCATTTGGTGCTTTTTATTGGTCATTTTTATGTTGTTCAATTTGCACGACAAGATTACTCAAAACAAAGTAGTAAAAAAAGAAAATGTTCCAATGCGTTGAATATGTGTGAGATCTCAACCAAACAGATGATGGACTTCCTTTGACAACAATGACCAACAACAGCAGCATGAGCTATGCACGTCTGCTGGAGGGGAACATCCATCCATCCATCATCTATACACCTTAATCCTCACTAGGGTCATGGGGGGCTGGAGTCTATCCCAGCTGACTTAGGGTGAAGGCAGGTTCACCTGGACAGGTCACCAGTCTATCACAGGGCTACACTTAGAGACAGACAACCAAGCACACTCACATTCACACCTACGGACAATTTAGAATCACCAATTAACCTCAACATGTTTTTGGACTGTGTGGGAGGAAGCCGGAGAACCCGGAGAGAACCCACGCTGCACGGGGAGAACATGGAGACTCCACACAGAAAGATTCCGGTGCCCCCACCAGGACGTGAACCGGCGGCCTTCTTGCTGCGAGGCAACAGTGCTAACCACTGATCCACCTTGCAGCCCTGGAGGGGAACATACATGAATGTTATGTTTGTGTCTGATGCAGTTTCTCATCGTGACTACTGCGACTAACGTTATAATTCTACAACCATCAGGCATGAAAACACAATTTTCAGAACAAAAACTCTTCTTAACATCTTTAAAAGTGCATGCATACACTTTGTGACTATCCAAGGGGAGGGCAGATAGCTGGACGAATAGTTCATTTTCGCAGACACAGAGGAACATTAGCATTTATTTTTCGGGTTGTGTCTACTGTTTAGTCGACACTATCCTTTAGCGCTCTTTGGTTCCCATCATAGACTGCATATAAAAGATTAAAAAGCAAAGCAAGTGGGTAAGTTTTACACTTTCTAGCAGCCAACAGGGGGCGACTCCTCTAGTTGCAAAGGAAAGTTTAATTCAGTTTAGTTTACGAAGCCACTTTTATAAGGCCAATAACAGCACTTTAGAAATGTTTAGTTACGCAACTTGAGATACCTGCAGAGAAGACAAAACACAACGTCTGATTGCGTAGAAGTCTATGAGAAGATGACGGATTAATTATATAACTACACTGACACCACCCATTGGTCTGTGGACTGTAGACTTGAGTTTGGCACTTTGGCTGTCACCATCTTGGCCCTTTGAAACTGGATGTCATGAGTCAGTGGTAGATCTGACTGAGAAGTTGAGGACACACTGCTGCTAAGGTGGCGAGGTGTCGATCACAGATTAGTACGCTGCTGCTGTATTGTCTATTTTACTGTAAATGAGACCATCATTATCAAAAATTACCAAAACATTATGCTGTATTGAAGGAGCTGTGACCCCACCGACTGAGATCATAAACTATTTAGCTGAGCATGAGGTGAGAATTAAGACAATTTTCTGATAGAATCCAACACAAGCTAAGTTTTTTTTACAACCAGTAGAGCTGCACCCTGCTGGCTGGAGGAAAGAATTGAACATTCATGGACGAATTGTCCAAAAAATGTTTTTTTTCCAAATATCTCATCATGCATGACTTGACATCTCACCTGTCATTTAAACAACTCTTAACCAATTTGTCCACTTCTGTGTGTCAGTAGACACTCATGCTGCTAAACTTTTCATTTATCTGACCGCACAGATCAAGATTTGGATCCCTCACAGCGACATATAAAGGGTGTGTTTGATGGGACTTTGAACTACTTCTGTCACACTTACCAGTGATCAGAGCTCTATCGACTTTAAACTGGACTGGTCGGCCATGTTGGATTATATCTGGACAGTATAAAGACATTATCGTGTGTTTTGTAATATTTCCAATAATACTGACTCTATTTATATTAACTAAAAACATCTATAACCTGGTTTCAATGTGCTGTGCTGTAGAATACCACGAATAAAGAATGTTGGTAATGTCCATATATTAAAAAAAAGAGTCATAAAGTGCAATCTTAGGGATTTTCTATCACCTGTTGCTGTTTATGAAATGCTGTTTTATCTAGTCATTAGTTAATTAATTAATCAGTCAATTAATAAACAGTCTCATAAAATAAATAACAATGGCTTTGAAATAAATAAATAAATAAATAAATCATACAATAAATATTTAAATAGCTGCAGCAGTCAAATAGATTTTAATTAAAACAGGATATGACTTTTATTTATTTCAAAGTACTTTTATCTAATATTTAGGTATTTCTATATGTATTTCAGAGCAGTGTGTGTTTATGTCTGTGTGTGTTTATCGTCCTGTTCTGTCTTTGTTATGTAAATGTGTCCAGACGGATAAATCCCTGCGCTCTGTAATGCCCGGCGGCTCCGATGGGGGGCGCCAACGGCACAAACTCGCAGCCAGACCGCGAGACATGTGGCTGAGACTTTCTGAAAGCAACGCTCCGTTTTTAGCCCAAAACAGTTCCCAGGTAGCGCTATTTGTCAGCATTTCATAGCGGGAGTTTGGACGCTAACAACGGTTTAGTTGGTGCAAACGAGCCGCAGCTGCACTCAAAGGTGAGTAACGACACTTAGCTGAGTGGAGCTAGCCGCTAGGAGGCTAAAAGCGACGTAAGCAGGTGCTGTTGTTCAAAGCCGCTAGTTAGCTCTCGGCTAAACTCGCTTGCTGCTACCTAGCTAGCTAACTTATGACCTTCAGTGCAATCATCGTGGCTATTAATAAACTGTATTTAGCCGTGTTTGCCGCCGTGCTAACAACAGCCGGCTAGCCCTTAGGTAGCTGTGTTTTTAGCTAGCAGTAGCAGTCCGGCTAACCAATAACAACCATGTTGTCACCGTCGTGTTGGCACTGCTTGATCAACTTGGTGCTAATTTTGTGCCTCCAGCAGCCAGGCCGTGCTGGCAAAAACAACAGCAAGCATTCACAAGTGTTCGCCTGCCAACTTAACCGTCATCTCACTACGCCGATCACTATATTTACTATACATTAGCACATGGATTAAATTTCACCGTAGGCAGGCTAGCATAAGCTTTCAGGCTTATCAGTTAGCCTGCAGCGTTACATGGTAAAATACCCCGAACAACAGAGTTGGAGTGACAGTTGGAGAACCAGGCTGATGACTGGTGGCCTGTGTTGACTGGGTTTATTTGAAGTGTGTAGAAAAACGAGGGTTTGGTCTCACTGTTAGCAGAGGTTTCACTCCGGCACATTTTACAATCTCCAGAGGGAAAGTGGCTGCAGCCAGGCTGGTTCTAGATCAGATATCAGAGGCTCAGGTTGTCAGCCAGCTAGAGGAGTGTGATGGCCTGCTGGAGTTGGGTTTGTTCACCACCACTGAGACTGTCAAGTCTGGATTGTGGATGTAAAAGCCTGACAACTGCAAAGACTAGTCAGACTTCACCTTAGACTCAGACCTCCAGCACAGCTTTCTGTAATGCTGTGTGGCCTGTGTGCAGTGTCAAATGAAAAACTATTTCACTTTCACTTTTAGATCACAAGAAATTCAAAATTAGGACAGCAGCTCACCGTGACAGTAGATATTTCCTTTAATTTTTACACAAGGTAAAGTCTTTCTGAAGCAGCTGGGTTCTCTACCAGAGGCCAAGAGCACAGATGGCCTGTTCTACACACATTCATGCATACGTGTGTATATTATATATATACACTCATATTACTACTTTGTTAGCTGCTTGGCTAACAATACCTTCTTAGTGTGGATAGGGATTCACATTTTTAAACAGTTTCCCTAACAGACAGTTGGTCACGTTACCAATCAATGGTTGCGTAATCATTACAAATTAATTAAACGGGTTGACTTATTAATTTAACAGCAGAAAACAGTACCTTTATTTAAAATTGCCATTCAGTGATTGTCTCCCAAATCCAAACTATTCAACACAGCATATAAGCTGCACTCTTCCACAGTGTTTAACCTGTACCATAATTACTTGCTTTGCAGTAGTTTTATATGAAATTAATCCTCATGATGCAGTGACTTGTTCACTGCAGGTACTGTTTGTCCAGCTGCTAGAAACATCTGATTATAATTCAGTTGCAGCAACTCTGTCAGTCTGGGAAGCCTGTCAGCATTTACTGCCTCCTGTAAAATGTATTTATAGTGAGAACAGAGAGGTGCTGATACACTTCATCACTTTACTCTGAATGTTGTTGGAAGCATGTAATCAGAGTCCTGCTGCTCCTGTACGTTAGCGCCGTTAGCAGCTACACCAGACAGCAGCCAGACACCTTTTACTGCTTAAAGCGGCAGAGTTCATCAACACGCTGCCACAGCTAGCGCTTCGACAGCCGGAAGGTGCGCTTGTTTTTAGCATCCTGTGCAGACGGTCAGCAAACACACCTGTAACTCCATCCCAGTAAACAGTGGAGGCTCCACCTGGTGGTGCATCCTGGTGCTACAGCAAATCTACAAAACCCACTCTGACGTCTCATCTTCTGCCTTAATATACTTCTAAACTATTAAATTGTGAGTGGAAATTACCTTATTGACAAATAAAAATTTGCTTTAGAAATATTGTTACCATGATGTTATTTGGCCACGAACAAGTTTATTTATCATCGCTAATTTAAAAAAAAAATTTCAATAAAAAGCACATTTTAGGAAGCCATATACTTAATGTTTAACTTTTGTTGATATGATGTAATTGTAAATATCAAATTGTTGTTCACAAGTTTTCTGTTGTTAATTAAGTAATCATTTTATTATTTAAAAAAATCCTCGTCCTTATGTGGCTATGCAACTTTTTGCATCTTATTTTGACAAAGACAAACACAGAACAGGTGGTTTTGTATTCAGCACTTGGGCTTAATGGCAGTCCTGTTGCCACATACGCATCGTTAGTCGAGTTTAATTTATAGTTCAGCTGGCAGCGCACCTGTTTTTGCTGCAGCACTAGACACATGTATAATCTGATTAGGTCTTGCCATACAGCAGCCCTGTTTAGATTGTTTAGTTCACATTTAGATGTTAGTGATGTTGGATTACCCTCAGATTTATATTACTGGTGTCACAGTTCAGTCATTTCTATTCGCTTTGTGTCATGACTGAGACGGAGGCTGCTGCTGAGCTCATGTTCATTCATTCAGTGTGACAGAGAGCAGTTGTCACAGTGAGCACATGTTCTCAGTGGAGACTACTTAGCTGGGTTTGTGTTCCTGCAAAGGAGAGGACGACTGAGACTTTCTTCAACTTCTTAAATGTCGTCTATTCTACATACAAGAGATTTAAGGTCTGTGTAGTTGTCACACTATTCGGTACTGGACCTTCGTGGGAGACCTCGGGTTGGTTCCTGCCAGAGGTCTATTTCTGTTGATGCACTCGCTGTCCTGAGCAGAAATTTTAGAACACAAGTTCCACCGAGAAAGTTTTGCCCGTACATCACCTATAGCATGCTAGCAGGGTTAGCCTTGAAAGCTGGCCACACACTGATTTTGTACGATCAGTAAATCCTGTAACCTCTCTGCTTACACTGCACGGTTCAGATAACCGGCCACTATGTGGTGCTCACACAAAGCACTCAAACTCAATGCACCTTGGTCCAGTGACCGTTTAAAAAAAAAGTTTATGCAAACAAGAGAACTGTGCCGTAAATGTTGGAGGAAAAAGAGAAAGGCAGTATTAGTTTGTGCAGCTGTAAAGCTGAAATTACACTGCTGACAATCTTAATGACAACACTATTAAATATTTAGACTAGAGCTGAACCAGTATATTGGATGGTCAGTACTGGCCTATCACAGGTATGCTGTTGTATACGTTGTCAGATATATACTGATATTACATTTTTGTTATCGAACACAGTGCAGAAAATCATTTTTAAGAACCATTTCAAACCGCTGACACACAGTCTGTTCATCAGAGTGGCTCAGATGTCATAGTTTTCAATACTCAAAGCTGTCTGCAGCACATGTAGCAGAGCACGCGTTACAGCTGAGCAGGTGGTAGTGTGGAGTCGAGCGGTGTCTTCACAGAAAGCTGGAAACTAGTTTGTGAAATACATTGCTGGAAAATTAATAAATAATCACCCCATCATTTCCATTTTCCCTTTTTAATGTAATAATAATGAATATATTTAAATCATATTAGATGATGTAACCACATCAGTAGCACTATTTGGGTTACAAATGAAACCAATGCTGTTATTCAGTTTATTTAATTAGAGTGTATAGAAACATTAACGGGCTGTTTCTGCCTGTCCATTGATTTTATGCGTGCTATGGTTAGACTTAAACAAGAGCCGTCTTGTTATCTCATAGCCACAACTTATACGCACGCTTTAAAAGTTAAAGTAAGAATTATGACCAATGAGCCACCGTGAAATATTTATATTTATCAAACAACAAAATGTTATTCAATGCATTTTTATTGTTTTCCCTGTTATACTGAAAATCCCTGAGCATTTCTTAAGAACCCAGATAGACACCAAACTTTAAATTGAATCTCTATCCATAAAACACAAAGTAGTGGTCTCTATATGACACATCTACAGCTCTGGTGTGTAGTCCAGCTTTTAAGGTGCTTCAGCCAAACCTATGGCTGAGCTCCAGTCATTGTGTGTGTGTGTGTGTACGTGTGTGTACGTGTGTGTGTGTGTGTGTGTGTGTGTGTGTGTCTGTGTGTGTGTGTGCACTTTAGCGTTGCCTCCTCATGCAGTGAACCCAGTGTACGTGGCATCAAGTCAGGTTGAAGCATGTCATCAGGGTTCATCTTCAGTATGTTTCTCTGCTACTACAGCTTGTCATACATCACAGAAATATTGTGTTTAAAGTACCGAAAACGGGAACAACTTTGTAAATTATCGGTTCGATGAGTCACAGCGGTTGGACTTGTCCACTGGGCTGATGTTATCTTTTCAGTGTGTGCAGCTACACAACAGATTTGGTGTCCCGTGACTGGATAAAGGGTGCTTCTACCCTGACAGGGATAAAGCTGTAAAAGGTGTGTGTCATGTTGGCACACAGTAAGGTACAGATTCATTGTTTTTATAAAGTGTTGCCTGCTGGCAAAAACAATCCATCAATATCTAATCATCCTAAAACATCAGTGTGTCGCTCAGGACAGTTTTCTGTTCTGCAGCAGCAGCCAGAGGAGCTCCTACAGCTCTGTGTTTGCTTCATCATCAGTGTTCAACAGTGAGTGCAAAAGTTTGACAATCCCTCAGTACCATGTAGCCACACATTTGTCTTAATGGCGGCGTGCTTAAACGCAGCGCCCCCTTCAGGCGACAGCAATCGTTTAGTGTCCTATCCCAGACGTGCATTCTGCAAACTTTGCAGATTGAATGATCCTGAAGAAACGCTCTCTCATCTTGCCCGTACTACTGTGTATGTACAGCAACATGACAACAAACCTGATCTGATTTTCTTGTTAGTAATCCAGGTTCAGGTGGCAGCTGGACCAGGCTAACATTGCTGCATCCAACAACTCTGGTTCTGGTCTTAAATCATGTGTTTCCATGAATGAGCCCAACCATCCCACAAAGGAAGTGGTTTGGGTCACTCATCTGTCCTCTCATTGTTTCGAATGTTATCCCGACCTCATGACAGTTTGGAGTCACTGGTTTCCTGCTCTTGTACTGACATGACACACATCTCTGACCTGAGCCTCTGAACCAAAGATTGCTTTTCTCCAAATAATCTGGTGTGTAATTGCTGTTTGAAAGCCCCAACACTTAACGCGTTGCTGTGATGTGGATCCTTCATTCAGGTTCTGGTTTTGAAATGCCGTAGTAGAGGCGGACCTCTATCTTGTATTGATCGGAGTCAGACAAGACCATTTATCTGTATGTGATTTGTTTCTTTTGCTGTGTTTTTCTTTAGTTGTCAAAGTGTATAAGTGTGGGATGGAGGACTTTGTGTTTTATTTCAATAATATGTGGAAGCTTCTGGTAGGTCATGACCAACCAGCCTCAGCAGAGGAAGAGATAAATATGCAGATTAACCAAAGATACTGAACTGTGGACGTATAACCGCATTGGATCTAAAACTGTTCTGAGTCTCTGTAGTAGAACTGCAGCGATTAATCAGTGAGCTCAAATTTTTAATTATGTCCCGTCAGATTTGTTAATTAATAATCGGTTTGAGTATTTTTCTTAGAATGTATTTATTTTTTGCTTCCTTTGATCATTTTTTGGTTTCCTTTTTCCTCTACAATAGTAAACTGAACATGTTTGAGTTTTTTCTTGACATCTTTAAGAATTTTCTAAAATTTTACAAACCCAACAGCAACTTGATTATTTGAGAGACTAATCAACCGATCAATTGGCAATCAAATCTATTGTTGGTTGCAGCTCTGCTCTGTAGTTACCAGTGAAGATGGGTTTAGTATCACCTATCAGCTCTCGTCCAAACACAACACTGTGAGCTTAGAGCTGCACTTTGTGTGGTATGACTTAGAATAACTATTAGACGGGTTTCCTGCAGTACCTCGTGTACATTATCAGCTGTACTTGTCTCTTCTGTGTTAACGTCACAGTCTGATTGTTGTCACCTCCTTTGTGTTGTAGTGGTGATCAGGACAGCCTGGGGCCGGACATGACTGGAGCTGGAAGTGGTGAGATTTTTACAAACCAACATACATGCTTGAAACGTTTAGTCTTTTGTTGTGTATTTGGTTCACACAGATTAGAAACTAGATGGCAAGTATTCTAAGAGTGTATGTGTGTGTGTGTGTGGTCTCCTGTGTGTTTAGGCGGCCAGGGCCCGCCTGACGGGGCAGACGCTGAGGAGGCGGAGAGATGTCCTATCTGCCTGGGCGTCCTGGCTGGAGGCGAGCTCGCCATGCCTGACAGCTGCTGCCATGTCTTCTGCCTCAGATGTCTCCTCACTTGGGCAGAGGTGACGAAGCCGCTATGTTATTAGCTAAAATTATCAAAACGAACGCAACAGTTAGAATTTGTCATGTAGGTGGATTATGAAGAGATGAAATTTCCATTGGTTTAGTTAAAAAAAATTAACTTCTACCGTACATTTTTCATTCCATTTGAGGATTTGATATAATAATAATAATAATAATAATAATAATAATAAACTTTGTTTGTGTAGCACTTTTTAAGAGCAGAATTTGCAAAGTGCTTTTACATAATAAAGAAAAAACAACATGTGTAAAAAGTACAGGCAAACACTCAGAATGTAAGAATGGAAAAGAGCAGACTGGGTCACTGTTGAAAGGTGTACTGGTAAAACGGATTAAAAAGACGACATCACAGAGAGGAATGAAGATAAGAGCTGAAGATAAAAGTAGATGAAGAAAGAGAAAAGAGAAGGACAGCAGGTAGTACTAATAAGAAAAAGGGTAAAGAAACAGGCAAAAATCTAAAAGAGAACATCACTCGTCTATAAAAGTGGGTTTTAAGAAGTGATTTAAAAGAAGATACTGAATGTGCGAGCCTTATTTCCTCAGCTTGGTCGTTCCAAAGCCCCTCACAGAAAAGGCCTGGTCACCTTTGAGCCTCGACTTTGGAACGATGAGGAGGAACCCATCTGAGGATCTAAGGCTGCATGTGGGGATATACGGGGTTAACATATCTAAAATATAGCCGGGGCTGATCAGTAAAATCTTACAATCAATTCTAAAACAGACAGCGAGCCAGTGGAGAGAAGCCAGTAGAGGGGAGATGTGATGTCGCCTGTTCAAACCAGTAGCTGCTGCATTCTGAACAAGCTGGAGGCGAGAGCTGGATTTTTGTGGGATGCCAGATAAAAGGAAGTTGCAGAAATGTAGACGGGACGAGATGAGGGCATGGAGGATTCTTTCAAGGTCTGACTGAGGGAGGATGGGTTTGATTGGTTTGATGATGAATGTCGTCGACTTTTTCAGGCCATCACTGATTTTGGCCTTCTGCCAACGAACATGCCAAAAATAGCATTTTGGGATTTCCCCCCCGTTGTAATTCATCTCAGCGTAGGAAAGCCTGTCAGCCATTAAGATGTGCGTTTCATTCATATCTCTGTGTTCACAATGTTTTATTTGCCTTCAGTTGCAGACGGCTCCGTCCTGCCCCGTGGACAGAAGACCTTTCAGTAATGTTTACAGATGGGACGGGAATCTGAGCTGTGTGCAGGTCAGTCTGGTTTCTGCTGCTGTTTTCTCTGTCAAGATGAGGTCATTGTCTGCTGGTATTTTCAAGGTGACCTGAAATGACCAGCTGTGTAACGTAGATGCCGCCTGTGTTCTGTTGAAAGGGAAGTGTCTCATGAAGCGTCTCCGTCTCTGTGCATGTAGCCGTCTGCATTCTGTTGGTCAGCTGCTGTCTGTGCTGATAGAACTTCTTT